AGTGTAGACATACCCTGAGTTATTTAACCAGACAGCCACCAGGAGCGTCTCTTGAGCCCCTTCCTCTATCATCTTAGTTCAAGTGTCTCGCCGAGTGTAAATGTGGGCAACAGGCCACAGGAGTCCATGTAAAGACTGGTGTTCCCGCCCAGGAACCGACTGGTTGGGAGGCTGCCCGGGGAGATGACTAACGGAGGGATTGTGCTGGTGTGTTCCAGGTGGAGAACGATCTGAAGGAGAGAACAGGAGACACTCCCATGGCTGTGAATGGCACCGCCCTCCCCACAACTTCCTGGAGTGATTACTCCACGACTAATTATGGAGAAGGTGAAGATGATGACCAGCAGAAAGCGCTGCGCAAGAGCATGCATGTGCTCTCGATGGTGATCTACTCCATCGCCTTCGTGCTGGGAGTGACGGGCAACGGGCTGGTTATCTTCATCACCGGCTTCCGGATGAAGAGAACCGTCAACACCATCTGGTTCCTCAACCTGGCCGTGGCTGACTTTATGTTCACCTTTTTCCTCCCCCTCAGCGTGGCCTACATTGCCATGGATTTCCACTGGCCCTTCGGGTTGGCCCTGTGCAAGATCAACTCAGCCATGGCCTTCTTCAACCTCTACACCAGTGTCTACCTTCTCATGGTCATCAGCATAGACCGTTGTATCTCCGTCATGCTCCCAGTGTGGGCCCAGAACTACCGCACGCCTCGCCTGGCTTTATTGGTAGCTTTGGCTGTGTGGGTCTTGGCCTTGGTTTTGTGTTCTCCGAATCTCTACTTCCGCCACACAGGTCCCTCCCCGAGTAACGAGGACATCATCCACTGCTACTATAATTTCAACACAACCCCGGACGGGGCTACCTTGGAGGAGAGTGAGAGGATTACCTATATGAACAACCAGGCCATGACCATCAGCCACTTTGTCTTCGGCTTCCTCATCCCCTTTGCCGTCATCGTGTGCTGCTACGGCGCCATCTTGGTCCGCCTAAGGCGGGGCCACATGACTCGGTCTAGTAAGCCCTTCAAGGTCATCGCCACCATGATTGTGGCTTTCTTCCTCTGCTGGTTCCCCTACCATGTCTTCTCCTTCCTAGAGTTACACTGGACCCAGAGCCTGCACACTGCCATCATCATAGGCCGCCCCTTGACAGCCAGCCTGGCCTTCATCAACAGCTGCCTCAACCCCATCCTCTATGTATTCATGGGTCACGAGTTCAAGGAAAAGCTGCGCCGGTCCCTCTTCTCCGCCTTCGAAAGAGCCTTCAACGAGGATGCCGCCAGCACCAGGACCTACACAAAGAGCAAATCCACCATGGAGATGGAATCCCTGGCCACCTAGGAGCCGTGCATCTTCTGAGAACTGGGAACCGCAGCTGGGGTCAGCACGAACCTCTTCCCATCATAAATGGTGCAAAATGGACCCTAAGGACTCTGCCCTCCCGTGGACATGATCCCGACTCAGCTCTTTTGGTGCCAATATGCCCTTGCCAGAGATGGTCTAGGCTCATGTCGTCCTTCCCCCCTGAATTTCCTTCAAACACTGTGAACCGATGCATCCATGCAGATGGATGGAAGCCAAAGAAGGATGAAAGAGATCCTTCACTGATTTCTCTGTATTAAATGCATTCAGCAACACGACCATAGACAGGCTTTTCTGCACTCAGGAGTGACGTCGGGGGCACCCCACGGCATACATCTGGTCTTCATTTGATCTTCCATTTGGTCTCTGAGAACAATCACAAACACCTTCTTCCCCTGCTTCCTCCTTAACGCTGCCTTTTATTGAAAGTTCTAAATAAAGTATTGAGGCCTGCAGATCTCTGTGCTGGGAATTGTGTTGGAAGAGGGGGCTGAGACAGGGCAACAGGCAGTAGAGATCTGGAACAGAAGCATCTGCTCTCTTTGTTTACCAAAAAAAAAAAAAGACCTTCACAATACGGAGGGGATTCTTTGTAGGGCAGGTTAGCTCGTGGTAGCAGTGGGGTCTCTCAAAGGGGTGACGAGCACATTAGAAGCCCTTGTCATGAAAGTAAAAGATGTCTTGTTTTGAAATTGAGCTCCGGGAGGAGTCTAGTGGGTAGAGCAGGGGAGGGGAGCCAGGGATCCAGGATTCCTGGGTTCTATCTAAAGTCCAGGGAGAGGAGTGGGGCCAAAGGTCACAGCTGGGGTTACCGATCCTCCAGGATTGGCCTGGAGTATCCCAGAATTGACCTCCATCTCCCAGTGAGGGTTAAGAGCAATCGGGAGGTTTTAAGACCAGCAGCACCTTAGAGACTCACACAGGGCTACTCATCTTTGGAAGCCCCAGGGACCATGACGATACTCACAGCATATGCCGAGGGCCACAACTTAAGTGTGGTTGCCTAGACATGCAAATCTATGCAAATAGCTTGGCAGGGGTCAGATGGGACGAACTTTTTGGTCTCTGCTCACCTTGTGGTCTGATGCTTCTACGATCTTCGAACCATTGGAGCTGTTGCCCTAGAAGGTTTGATCCTATCTGAGTTCAGCTCAGGATCTGGAGAGTTTATAAACTTTCTCTCTCCCTCTTTCGCTGTCCCGTCTGCCCTGGGAGCCTTTTTCATTGCTCTCAGCTGCGTCATTTTGGGGAGGGAAGCAAATTTAACTCTGATTCCAGGGGCTACCTGGGTATTAGAAAATGCGAGTGTTTTGAGGCATAAGGATCTGGAGCAAAAAGGGGTTGCCATCTGCCCGTTACACACACATGCCCTGTCACACACACTGGCTGTCCCACTCACTGCCTGTCACACACACACGTGCCCTGTCACACACACTGGCTGTCGTGACACACACTGGCTGTCACACAAAATACCTTTCACACACGTACCCTGTCACACACACTGGCTGTCACACTCTCTGCCTGTCACACACACCACTGGAAAGCAGCTGGCAATCTAGCAGGAAGCCCACAGAAGGCTGGGATCCTGAGACGGGTATCCCCTGATACTGGACTTGCCCCGGGGCCTGGAAAACCCGGCCCTAAATGCCCTGTGGCCAGTTGCCCGGAGGCGGGGGGAGCTACCCCCAATGCACGGCTGTTAGCTGGTGGCCAGGGTAGTGAGTGGTCTGTGAGCCCTATCACACCCGAGTCTGACTGCTAGGACAGAAATCCTTTCACAGTGGGGAGCCAGGGAGGCTGACGGGCACCCCAAGAGGCTCAGCTCTTACTGCGTTTACCTCTGCCCAGCTATGGTTCTTTTTGATTGTGTTTGGTTCTGTTACAGCAACAGGAGGTGTCAGGTTAAAAGCTTAAACAGTTACTATTTATTGTTACAAGGCAAGCTTAGCTGTTACATGTTACTGCTGTGTTACAGATAACACAGTCAATACAACAACAGTCACTTAAAGGTACCATGGAACCCTTTTGGGTCCCTGAGCTCTTATTGAATGAGCGCAACAATAGACACCTAGCCGGTATATTCTCACCCCTGCGATCCTGACTCCGGCGAAGACAGGGTTTCTCTCAATCCCAATGGGAAGCCGTCGATATGAGACGAAGGCATCCCTAAAGTCTCGGGGGTCCAAGACCCCCTGACCAGCAGGTATATGGGTGGATCTCCAGTTAGAGTGGGGCACAGGGCCCCGCTTTATACCCCTGTGGTCACGTAGACGCTTCTCTTGTCATTAAAATGCCAATTAAGTTGGAACGTTTTGTGACGCCCATTCCCACAGGGGGACCAAAGCTTAATTTGCACCTGTGAGGTGGAGGTAACTAAATCATTAGGGCCGGACATCCTTTCTGATGGGGCGGCAGATTCCTCTTCTGGGACGGTGTGTGGAGGCGTATCAATTACTGGTACCAGCCAAGGGCAGCTCAAGGCCCCGATCGCCTGCTGGCCCAATTGCCGCCGTTATCTGGTTCCTGTCTAGCATCCAGGACCATTGTTATTCCAGCACCTCTGAAGACAGAGTTTCGCTCTCAAGGATTCTCTCCCAAGGATGTCAGAGGAAGGAGCGGACGGGGGCGGGGAGGGGGAGTGTTTCGGTCTCGCTACAACGGCTCTCCACACCCACGCGGCTGCTCTCTGCCCACACCAGGAGCGAGGGTGGACAAGCAACAGCAGGTTCCTCACAGCACCGCAACCTTGCGCACAAACCGCTGCCATGCGGGGAAGACCCCGGAAACAGGTGAGTAACTTCCTCCTGATGGCTGCCGTTAAGGGAGTGATGGGAACCAGGGAGCGGAGCCCTGTCTGTCTGTCTGTCTGCAGGCACCCTAAGGCCATACATGACCTCTCTCTCTCACCTATTCAGACCAGCAAGCTCCCTAGACACTGGACGACCAAAACAGACGGAGCAAAAGTCTCTTCTGTGCAAAACTTTCCTTACGGCGCTTGTGTGGGAATCAGTTTGAATTTGAGAACAGTCAATGGGGAAATGAACCAGCAAATTGGTCAGGTCCCAGCTGGGTCAATGGGCCGTAGTTCCACTGGAGTCAATGGGGCAGATCCTAGGTGGGCCAATGGGCCGTCGTCCTCCATCTAGTCCCCACTCAGCTCGCCATTCTGGGAACGGGCCGGGAGCGTGGAGGGACAGCCCCGTGCTTTGCATGCCCTGCGCACATGACCACAGCTCTGCCAGTCCTTGTCTTTCATCATCTGCCCTGGCCAGAGGAGCTGCCGCTGAGCCACTGAAACCCACCAACCCCCGCTACCAGCTAGCGGAGAGCCCACCTGCATTTGGGGAGGGGGACGGGTGGACCGTGGCTGGGCTCGGGTTCGGCTTAGTGCAGACTTAACCTTCCTGGCCTATTCTACCCATCATCCATGACCCATCCCCAGAGGTCTCCCCCTCCATTGGCCTCCATGCTCTGTGTGTGTCTCTTTCTCTCTTGAACCCCATACACCCTCTCTATCTCCATGCACCTCCTTATCTATCTATCTGTCTAACCCCATAGATGCCCTTATCTATTCCCATACAAACACTCTATCTCTATGCACCTCCTTGTCTATCTATTGGTCACCAAACAACCTCCATCTATCTATCTGTGTATCATCATTCCCCATCTATCTTCTTATCTATGCTCACCAATCACTGATTCAGTGATATCCACTTTCTCCAGGTCTCTTGTGACAGCTACTGAACTTCAGTACAGATTGTGGGAGAACGACAAAGCAAATCAGCCAGATCCCAGCTGGGTCAATGGGCCTTAGCTCCAATGGAGTAACTGGGGCTGATCCCAGCTGGGTCAATGGGCCGTAGCTCCACTGGAGTCAATGGGGCAGATCCTAGGTGGGCCAATGGGCCGTCGTCCTCCATCTAGTCCCCACTCAGCTCGCCATTCTGGGAACGGGCCGGGAGCGTGGAGGGACAGCCCCGTGCTTTGCATGCCCTGCGCACATGACCACAGCTCTGCCAGTCCTTGTCTTTCATCATCTGCCCTGGCCAGAGGAGCTGCCGCTGAGCCACTGAAACCCACCAACCCCCGCTACCAGCTAGCGGAGAGCCCACCTGCATTTGGGGAGGGGGACGGGTGGACCGTGGCTGGGCTCGGGTTCGGCTTAGTGCAGACTTAACCTTCCTGGCCTATTCTACCCATCATCCATGACCCATCCCCAGAGGTCTCCCCCTCCATTGGCCTCCATGCTCTGTGTGTGTCTCTTTCTCTCTTGAACCCCATACACCCTCTCTATCTCCATGCACCTCCTTATCTATCTATCTGTCTAACCCCATAGATGCCCTTATCTATTCCCATACAAACACTCTATCTCTATGCACCTCCTTGTCTATCTATTGGTCACCAAACAACCTCCATCTATCTATCTGTGTATCATCATTCCCCATCTATCTTCTTATCTATGCTCACCAATCACTGATTCAGTGATATCCACTTTCTCCAGGTCTCTTGTGACAGCTACTGAACTTCAGTACAGATTGTGGGAGAACGACAAAGCAAATCAGCCAGATCCCAGCTCGGCCAATGGGCCGTAGCTCCAATGGAGTCACTGGGGCAGATCCCAGCTGGGTCAATGGGCCTTAGCTCCAGTGGAGTCACTGGGCAGATCCCAGCTGGGTCAATGGGCCGTAGCTCTGTTGGGGTCAATGGGGAAATTCCAGCTGAGTCAATTGGCCGTAGCTCTATTGAGGTCAATGGGGAGATTCCAGCTGGGTCAATGGGATGTTGCTCGTTGGGGTCAATGGGGAGATTCCAGCTGGGTCAATGGGATGTTGCTCCAATAGAGTCAATAGGACAGATCCCAGCTGCAGCAAGCTGATGTTGTCCTATTTCAATCTGGGGTCCATGCCCGAGGCACAGGCAGGCTGGAATACTTGGTGGGGTCCTGATTCAGGGTAGACAGGCAATGACAGGAGGGCGGAGCTAGGAGCCACCTCTCCCCACAACAGCCCTCTGGGGGTGATAAATGCTCTGGCCAGGGGTCCTGGAGAAATGGATGGGGAGCTCAGGGGCTTGCCAGTCTCGCTCCTGAGCAAGAACCAAGGTCAGACTGAGCAGGGCAACTCCCGGACCCGACTCCATGGCCAGCCTCCTTGATGGGCGGAGCAAGAAAAGCACCTGACCTGGTTCTGTGGTCAACGTGCCTAGTGGGCGACGCAGGGCAGGAGCTGATCTGGGACTGAGGGCAGAGTGGGCCTGGATGGTCCATGACCTTCTCCAGCTTTGGCCCTGGCATGCCCCAGACACCAGTCCGACAGGTGGGTTCAAGAGGCGTCCTAGCCCGACACCCACTGGAGAGCCCGTGGCACTGGGCACGTAGAAGAGGGAGGGGCAGCTCAGGAAGTGGTGTGGACAACCCATCCTGCACTGGCATCGGAAACGGGCTGTTGCAACAGGCAGAAGAAGCAGAAGCTCCTGGCGATCTGCCCGGGCATTACAAAACTCCTGAGCTGGGTCGTTCTTCCTTCTCTGCTGCAAGTCCCCAGCCCTTTGCGCCCTTCTCTGCACTGTGCTGGGCACCCCACTCCGCTCCTAGTGCCGGGAGTAGAGGCCAAGCTCATAGCCCTATCCTGCTCTAACCACTAGACCCTGCTCCTCTCCCACAACTGGGTGATAGGACCGAGGAGTCTTGGCTCCCAGCACTGTTCTAAGAGCTAGGCCTGCCAACATCGCTTACCTTTGAATTCATGACCCCCCTTGTACAGCCGACTGCAGTGGGCACAGGGGACAAGGGAACCCCAGGGGAGGGAGGTGGTGAGCTGGGGTGGGGGAACCCCAGGGAAATCGCAGCCTGGAGCCAACTCCCCAGGCCTCTGCCAACCCCTCCCCAGCCAGGAGTCAATGAGCTGGGAGGCGGTGGGTCCAGAGAGTCGCCAAGCACAGTCGGCGTGTTGGGTTTTGGGCCCCCCGATGGACGCGTGACGATGAGTCGGCCTGGCAACGCCCCCTCTAGCGGCTCCATTTCCATCTCACCCACCCCCTTTGTGGGGCCTTTCCCTCCCCCAGCCTGGTTCCTCCTGCCCCTCCCCACCTGCCTCCGGGCTTGTCCAGCCAGGCCAAGGTATTTTGCAGCCCTGAGGCCCGTCAGAGCTGGGGGGAGGCCAAAAACAACACCCGGAACTGCCCAAGGCTGCTCTGAGTTTGCCAGGCCTCGGGTGGCTCATGGAGTCTGGGGGGTTTCCAGCAGCGAGGCGACGGGCGAGCGTCGAGGCAGGAGATGGAAGTGGTGTTTTATCGCCCGACCGCCACTTCCTCGCCCTTCGGCTCCGGGTTTGCCCTGTTGGGTCTCCTGGAAAACAGCCTCAGACTTGGAGCAGCAGCGCGGGCCGGCTCGGGGTGATCTCTGGTAGCCACGAAAAGGGCTCCCCGCCCGGCCTCTCTG